AATGGTCGAGAGGGACATGTCCCAAGTCTCTGGTGAGTGGAGCGAACGGGTGTCGAGAGCATGGTGGCTGCTCAGCTATGTGTTCGAGGTTGAGTGTGATGTGTTGCGATGCTCATGGATTCGATCCCCTTAGTGGGGTGTTATGCTTTCCCTTTTATGGGCCAAGGAAAAGCACGGGTTATAGCAGACGAAGAGAGGAAAACCGGAGGGGGAGGAAATCCTTCATGGTCGCCGAGCCTTTCTTTTCCTTCGTGCGGGTCCCGCCGACACTACAGGCGGTGACAGGGACTGCTCATTGCCGGAGGCCTGTCTGCCGACGACACCATGCCCTGGCATTGTCAGCGGGTCGTGATGTCCCACTCTGCCCCGGCAGGCGACGCGGTGAACCAGCGTGCGGATCAGGGGCTGTACAGGGAGTAGGCAGCACAATGACCTTATGCCCATCACTATGGATGATGTGAGTTCCCTGGAATGACATGTCGTGGGAACGGGTCATGTTGAGATATGACCGCTCCCTACACGTACCGGAAAGTTTGACCTTGGGGCGTACTTTCTGGCCTGTAGTGGTTGGCGGCAGCATGGGCTTCCATCAGGAGCCGTACCCGAAGGATCGGGCGAGGTGGAGCCCGTCCTCAGACGTCGGGTGAGGTGGAGCCCGCCCACAGACATCGGGCGAGGCGGAGCCGGCCCTCAGACGTCGGGCGCATCGGGCGAGGAGAGCTAACCCTCAGGGGTCGGGCGAGGCGGAGCCCGCGGCCTCAGTGGTCGGTAAGAGCTGTAGTAGCGCTCTTGACCGCTCGAATGAATCATCGTTGATGGTTGTTAGCTCTCCCTCTTTTGGTACCCTACTATTGGTCCTCGACACACACCGATCCACAAAAGAGGGGCGACGCTAAAACTGCGGCGTTGGATTTTCTCGCCAAGGTTTTGGCATGTGGCGTAGAATTTGAACTACGACCCTACAGTCGCACTGCGGCACGACACAAGTACGGTAGTTAACAAAACGGGCGCCACATGTTTGGCAAAAAAAACTGTGGCGTGTTTTGGCCACTTATGGCTATAACCAAACACGTCGTTACGAATATAAATATAGATCCAAATATCCTCGAGTATAAATAATCGAATGGATTTGTCTCCAATTCGGATATCATACTGTTTAATTATAATTTATTTTTTCATTTCAATAACTAAATATTATTTTAGCTAGACAAAAACATATTTTTTGCAATTGATTATTATTTGAGCCTTACGCTATAAATACCTAAAGAAAAAAACTCTAGATCTACTGTTGTTCTAATTCATCAATGTATTCTTAATGTACTAAATAGCGTTATAGAGATGTAGTTTCTCCAAATCTACGACAAAAGCGATATGTGCCATTACAAGTTAACATTTAAATAATGCATTAAGATTATTAATGGCCACGAAGAGTATTAAGATAGTCCACTAATGATATTTTATTTGAATATTATTTTTTTTATCTTCAATCGTAGGCAGTGCTGGACCTGACTAGGCGTGAATAGTGATGCGATCTACTAGAATAAGGGATAAAATTGAGCTGAAAAGAAAAGTTTGAAGACAAAAAAACACACTTGGATAGTTTATGGATGAAATCAAGCTCAAAATGCAAAGTTTGATTGCTTTCAAAAAATTGCAAAGTTTGAGATCGGAACAGTCACTTTAATAGTCCTAATATGAAATTAAGTCCAAAGAAAAATTTTGAGGACCGGAACAGTCATTTCAAAAGTTTAGGAATAAAATTAAGCTTAAGTCGATAATTGAGGGATCAAAATAACTATTCTTCCATACTTAACCTATAAATCACACACTATGGGATCATAATTTTTTATGATCCAGCCAAAATACTCCAAAGCAACCACACACAATCACCTTTAGGACCTGTTTCGCAGGGCTCCTCCGGAGGAGCCAGAGCCATTTCGGAGGAGCCACAAATTGTGGCTCCTCCAAAATAGCTCCGACTCCCCTGCTTTTTAAAAAAACTACCTCCTTCAAAAAAAGCGTTTGGGCCTCTCCTCTAGGAGGAGAGCCAGAGCCGTTTTTAAATGTTTATACTCCCTGCGTTCTTTTTTACTTAGCTTATCGTATTAGCTATGTACTAAGCTAAATATTTTCAGATCCATGTAGTTTCACAATATGTATATTATATATTATAAAAGTAATTGTCATAATAAATTGAAAACATAAATTTTATGTTGTTAATAACGTATATAAAATTTTTAAAATTAATGATCAAAATTAGAAATGTTTCAGTTAGGATAAAACTAATGTGGCATAAAAATGAACGGAGTGAGCATTGAGTAACTCATTAACATCTAGCAAGATCTTTGGATTGAAAATTATGAAATGATAATCTATTTGTCACGTGCTACATCACTGTGCCAAGGACGAGAATGAGTCAAAAGGTAGCCCTGGCTTATAGATGAATCTGTACACAAGTGCGCTGGGCAACCGCGCCTGCCGCCTGGCTAAAGAGTGAGTACGCCGCGCCGCTGTACGCGCAGGCACCCGCACTCTTGCTCCTGCGCGCCAATGGAGGACAACGGCGGCGGCGAGGTGGCTTGGCGCTTCGGGGGGGCCAACCTATCGCTGGAGGCGGCCAGCACGCTGAGCATCCGTGCGCTGGTTCATCGGCTTTATGGCTGCGTGGACCGGAACGACCCGAGGCCGCTCGGCGCCGCTCGGGCACGGTGACCCTTCGCCATTCGCGTGCTTCCGCGCAGCCGCCGCGGCTGAAGAGGCCGTCGCCGCTGCCGCCACCTCTGGAAAGTACAATAGTTACCCCACCGCCGCCGGCCTCACCGAGGCATGCAGGTACCGTACATACAGCAAACTTGTCTCGATCTACCGGCTCCCGCAATCCTCTCTTATCTCCTCTGTCGCCGCACCGGCCGGCCGCTGTCATTTGCTCCCTCAATAGTCACCGGTGTCTAGCTTAATCTCTTCTCGCTCCACACTTCAACTTGTCTTGTCGCTCCGCGAGACAATTGCAAACATGGGACTCGAAAGATTGGTCTGTTTGCAGATTTGACATTGAATCCACATTTATAGACACAGATGGATCCATTTGTGATCCACCTGAGTGAAGAGTCATTCTTTAGAGTCCTAAATATACGATTTTCTCGTCGCTCCACAGTTCAAAACGTCTTATAATTAAAAAAAAAACTCACCCGCGGCGGGTGGCAAGACAGCCCCGGACATTGTGCTTTAGAAGATCTTTTCAGACAGGTCGAGATAATTCCTGAACCTCTACCCCATTTATACACAGCAGACACCTCCCGTGAGACTAGACCGTGCTTTATACAGGGATTTTTTTAGCAGAGATAAACGCTTCCTTCGCTCCGGCAGGGTGCAAAGCGCAGTGCAAAACGTCTTATAATTTTAGAATAGAGGAGTCTAGTGATAGTCTTATACCCACCGTGGTTCAAACCATTCGAGGCTAGAGAGCCTCCCAATCTCTTCTTTGTGTGTGCGTGTGGAGGTGTGGAAGGTTTTTTAACACGATTAAAAAAAAGAATGGAGGAGCACTTATCATGATTAAGTCTATTCTTACATTGAGCTAAGTAATGTTAAAATAGAACTTTAGTTTGTCAAAAAAACCAAAAAAAAAAAAACTTTAGTTTGTCAAAAACTTTGGCTATAGTTTGAACCCTAGTTTGTTATATATGATGTTGATAAATTTGATTTGATTTTTTTAGAGATTCTTGTGTTCCTTTTATTTTTTTGTCAAGGAATGATTCCTACGTTCAGGCTATTTCCTGCTTTTATACATTTCTATAATAGTTACACGAAGAGTTTCACCTGACACTCTAAAAATATTCTCCAACAATCAAATGTGTACTACGTATCTACTAACATCGTTTTCAAGCTTAAGAATTTGACACTACCCTTAGGGTCACCATTTGATGACGTGTAATTGTTACTACATCATAGGTGCTAACAATTACTCGTCCTATGGTTTGGTCATCTTAATCGGCCGCAAGCAGAGACGACCGTACATAATGGTTAATTTCAAGATCCTTGCCCAGTAGTTCTCCAATGCTTGGCCATAGCTACTTTCTTTACGATCAATTTTTTAGTTTTAGAACCTTTGATGTGTGTCCAAGGACTGACTAAGAGATTGGAAATCTTAATAAATAAACAGGATGACTTAAAAAAATTGCAGCACCATGTTAAAATAAAATAAAACTAAAATTTTGGGGAGTGGAATATCGGTGCTCAATGCCTTTCTTTGTGTGGAGAAGCCAATGCAAGGTCAGAAGGCACATGTAAGACACTTGAGATCAGAAGGCCCAGTAGTTTAATTAGTGTTCGATCCAGTTGTGCTGCTGATCCTGCAACCACTGTGAGTCTGACTGATTACCAGCCTTCTGGTTCTCACATGACACATGTGCGGAGCATCTATGCACTATGCTCACGCAAGCTTTTTGTCCCCATATGACAACTGGTTGTTAGTTTATTTAGTTGGTTAGCTAGAAGTTTGTCAGCATTTCTTTCTCGATACTAATTCAACTGATAGATCAAGATTATATAGAGCTCGTGAGATGTTAACCCACCACAAATTTCTCTTTGATTTGGCGCTTTAAATTATTATTTGTGCATCATTCAAGATAAAGGTCTCTCAATTGTTTAACAGTGGACTTCGGGGGTTCGGAAATTCTCAATATCTGTACGAAGTTTGTCCAAGTGTCAAAATGGAGTCCAAATTAAAGTTAAAAATCAAGTTCAAAGGTTCCTTGATCCTATACTAGTTGAAATTTCACCATGTTGTAACGAAGCTAAAGATCTTAGAAAGTCACATGAAACCCTCGTTGGCTTCAGAATCCTATTGAAAATCTACACAGCAGAGAGTATATATATGTCTGCCTATGAGTTCTGAAAGCTTTCTGCAAACTGACGTCCTTTCAATAAATTTCTGGTGAACACATTAAGCGCTGTGGCTGCGTACCTATCTCGATACCTCCCCTACGAGCTGTCGACAGGCGACATTGTCCTTACCGCGGGCTGCAACCATGCCATCGAGATCATGATGGCTGTCCTTGCCATGCCGGGCGCAAATGTATTGCTGCCACGGCCAGGATACCCAATGTATGAAGCACGCGCAGCCTTGGGTGGGCTCGAGTTCAGGCACTACAATCTTCTTCCGGACAAAGGATGGGAGGTTGACATTGAAGGTGTGGAGGCCCTTGCTGATGAGAACACCGTCGCCATTGTTATGGTCAACCCGAATAACCCTTGTGGGTCCGTATACTCCCATGAGCACCTGACCAAGGTTAGCGTCTAACGCATTTTAAGTACAGAGTATGTGATGATCATAGTGCTTATAGTTTGGCATTAAGGAGTACGTGGTCTGCACATACTATCTTGTTTTACATGTTTATTGACAAATGAATATCGATTTTTTTTGTCGAAATTTGACGACGAATGAAGGATCATTCACTTTGTGGGCTACCACTGTAGGAAATCTTATACATATAACACATCGCATTCCTTAACCCAGTGGTCACAATTTCAACTCTCTAGATTGCAGAGACATCAAGAAAGCTCGGGATAATGGTAATCTGTGATGAAATTTACGAGCATTGCACATTTGGAAGCAAGCCTTTCGTGCCCATGGGTGTGTTTGGTGAGATAGCTCCTGTGGTGACGCTGGGCGGCATATCCAAGAGGTGGATGGTGCCTGGTTGGCGGCTTGGTTGGATCGCAATGACTGATCCAAAGGGAATCCTCAGGAAGAAGAAGGTATTCCATTCCTTGATGATACATTGACTTCTTTTTCTTCCTTTTATCTGTGTGCTCTACCATATCTACTTAGCGATGAGCTTGTTTCTCCAATATATAGATTCTTGAGTCCATCATTATCTACCGTGGCATCTCAGTAGATCCAGCAGCAATTATTCAGGTTAGTACTCAGGATTCTTACCCTGATGGTTAACATCCATTAATTACTTATAACTGACGCCATATTATTGTGAGCAAGGAGCTATACCCCAAATCATTGCAAACACGGATGATGTTTTCTTCACAAATGCTATGAACATGATGAGAGAAGCCGCAGAGATATGCTACCAGAAGCTAAAGTGCATGGAGTGCATCACTTGTCCTCACAAGCCAGAGGGATCCATGTTTGTCATGGTTTGCAATCACTCAGAAACTCCATACTCCATTTTTAGTGTCTATCAGTCTACATTTGCTCCATAGCATGATATATCACTGCTACAGGATTAACCATTACTGCTGGTTCTAGAGCCTTTTCCATTGGTGGTTTTGAAATTGGCAATGGTAGCATTGAGCTATCACTGCTGTTTTTTCACCCAGTAGTTCTTGCCTTTTTTTTCACAGAATAAAAAATAAATACATGGCAGCTGTTGTCAGATGCAGTTGCCGTTCCACCTAACTCAAAGGCAATGGTGGGAGGACGGTCGTTGACCGTGTCAGATGATATCGAGCAGCATGTGGTGCCTCCCTGCAGTAGTGAGGCAGCCATATTCTTCTCTGTCATTACCTTGGAGCCTGACGAAGTCATGGAGGGGAGGAGGATCGATGGAGCTAGAGATGCGGAAGGAGGGGGCAGAGGAGACTAGGAAGGGAGAGGAAAGCGGCAGAGAGATACAGAGGGAGAGAGGGAGAGGATGAAGTACTAGGGATGGAGGGGAGAAGTGGACATGAGGTCCACTTAAATATTCAATTGAAACAAACTTTTGTGCCTGGACCTCATATCACTACCGGTTCAAACTACAAATTAATGTTTTAATAGCATTAGTTGATTTTAATTAGAACCAACAGTGATAATACATTACCACTAATAGATCTTTTCAAACCCAGCAATGATGATAGATCCGGCAGTGATACTTCATCCTGACAGTTAGAAAGAAACGGACAGTGATATAGATGACAACACTCGTATCCTGGGAAGTTTGGAAGCACTAGAATTCTTGTGTGTTTGAAGGAGCCTTTCCTAGTATCCATACACTCGGGCGAATCATAGGCAATGAGTGCAGTTTACGATGCATGGCTGGAGCATCAAAACTTAGTGATTTGCTTGCAAGGTCTTTGGTCCAGTTTGCATAACTTCTAGGGTAGTTTTGTTGTTCAGGTCCTGATCTTGTATAGAATCAACCCCACCCTTTCTTATTTGGTTAGGGTGGGTGGGTGTGGTGTTGTTTTGTTCGGTGAGTTAGGTTTCTTTCTAAATCCAGCTCGTCTTGTATTCCTGTCTTAATGCAATGACGCAGATCTCCTGTGTAGTTCGTAAAAAAAAAAAGATATTGATGACAACGATTGGTGTTTATTTGTTAGTGTATATGATGATATGTTGCTTGAAATTTCAACAGGTAGAGCTGGATATCTCATATTTCGATGGCATCGACGACGATATTGACTTCTGCACCAAGTTGGCCAAAGAGGAGTGTGTTGTGATCTGCCCAGGTAAAACAAACTGTCCTTAAGTAGTATCTGATTATCCTGTGGGGTTTTTGAACAAAATCCATACATCTATGGAAATTCGAGAAGTTCATAAATTTTAAGGTCATGGAGACAAGTTTTCTCCTAAGATATATTCACAGACCTGTAGCCTACACTTTTTAAACATAATTCTAACAAATCAAAAATTGTTTTAATTATATAATATATAGGATATGATGGTAAAAATTGTAACTGAGATTGACGCACTAGCTATGGTCTTATAGAAGTCATAATGTGGGTTTTGAGGGGGCATGTCATACCGTGCATAGAACATTTTTTATAAAGGAAACATTTTATTACTTTATAATCATTACATCAGTTTGATACGATAATTATAAATCCACTTCAAAATGACTTTTGTTTAAATTGGGAACCTATACGCGAATCAGACCTCACAATAATATAATTTTCTCGAACCGACCTCAATAATATAATTTCACCGGAGAACTGACTCTTTGGTTCTAAGTTCCAGTGAAACTCATTATGATCTTGTGTAAGCCTGATGTTAGCAATGCGAAGAAGTTCATTTCAGGCTACTAATTTAAGTCCAATTAAATCATGTATCCACAAAATGTTTAGAGGTGATGAGATGCACTAAAGAGTAAAGACCTTGGTTATAGTTTTTTTGTCTAACTATTCTGTATTAGTAAGTATATGTTTCCTTCAAAGTTGAGTTTCCCAACCCCTTATCTTCGTAGAATCTCATAAGGGATCCATCTTTTATTGAGAAGGATCCAAAACAGAGAAAATATTCTTCCACCTTCATAAGACTATCCCAAAAATGTGTCCTGATTTTTTTCATTAAGCTTGAAATGAAGTCTTAGAACCCAAATACTTGTTCCAAAATTATTTGCTACCTGTCCCATATGTTGTAACCTGTAAGTAGCTATTTACAAAGAATTGCAACATTTTTAATATCCATTTCATGAATTTCTAACCCCTAATCTTTTGGATGTCAAAGTATGTTCTATACGGCAAGGCGATACTTGCTCTTTTGGTTGTCACTTTAGAAATCTAGAGAAAATGTAGTCTAATTGCTTCAGCACACCTCTTGTAATTGAAGAAATACATCGTTAATTGTATACTACTCAGCATTGAGTTTATCAGTGTTCGACATCCTCCTATTAACAGATGTTCCCCTTTCCATCTATTTAACCTGTTTTCAGAATGTTCCTCCATCTTTGCCAATCTCCATCTCTCATCTTCCTAAAATGAATCTTAATCCCTATATGTGTCTTATAGGAAAATGCTCTGGATTTACTTTCACAAAGCTCAATATATTGGTCCTCTACTTCTTGGGCCTCACTAAATAAATGCAGTTCACTTTTATGGAAATTTAGTTTAAGACCTAATACTTGTTAAAAAGCATTAAGTAATAGTTTCATGTTTTAGGCTTGCTCTAGATTATTTTCCATAAGGGCTATTGTGTTATTGGTGTATTGCAGAACTAATAAACCACCATGCACCAGATGTGGCATCACTCTACTAAACTGCCCTTCTTCTTTGGCTCTATTAGTGAAGATTGTTAACATGTCAGCAACAATGATCTGGAAAAAAGGAGATAATGAGTCCTCTTGGCAAAGGCCTTTCTTTGTTTGGAAAAAGTGTCCAATCTCATCATTTACACTATTTGCTACACTCCCATAAAGGACAAAGTTTTCAATCCATTTGATCCATTTGGGCAAAGGATCTTATGCAAAGTTTGTAGCAAAAAGGTCATCTAACCTTATCATAGGCTTTCTTAAAATTTGTTTTGAAAATGATCACGTTTAGTTTCTTTCAGTGGACTTCATGTATTTCTCATGTAGGATAACAACCCCTTCATAGATGTTGGGTCCTCTCATGAAAGCCGATTGAGTTGGGCTTATTATGTGATCATTAGCCACCATATTAATGCGATAGTATCCGCTTTGGTAAAGATTTAAAACTAACATTGAGCAAATAAATGTGTCTATACTGATGTATTCAATTTTCTTCTAGCACCTTTGGAATGAGGGTGATAACACCAATGTTTAAAATAAACAATGGTGAATCCCTTTTATGAAAATTTTGAAACATATGTAGTAGGTTACTTTTAATGACTTCCCAAACTTTTGATAAAACTCAACCAGGAAACCATCTGGGCTTGGACAGAAATTGGGTAATCTTTTATTAACTAACAAACAATAGACTATTGAACCACTGCTTAAATTCTCAATTCATAGAGTTTTATGGGTGTAATGCAGGTAGTGGGCTTGGGATGAAGAACTGGCTCCGTGTAACCTTCGCGGTAGATCCTCCTCTGTTGGAGGATGGGATGGAGAGGCTCAAGTCTTTCTGCCTGAGGCATGCAAAACCCACTATAAATCATGTCACCTCGTGATCTGTTAATATAAATAATATTATGTCAATTGCATGGACGATCCCTTGCGATTAAATAAAGATGTATATTTGGTGTTGTAACACATATGGACTCCAACCAGGAAGGAAAGGAGGATGAATCCCAATTCTAGTACATTCTTTAGGTGGACTCGTACGAAACTCTTGGGCTTTGTTCGGTCTATATATACTTAACATTGTAATTATGAATATACAGTGAATAATGAATGGTTTTCCTACTTTATGCCTTTGTGTTCCTCTACTTGTGTCCACTATATTGATCGTGAGACACAGAGAGGAAAAGGTCCTAGTTGCTAGCGACATATTTCACAACAATTTGGTCATGCTCGTGCATGTGTGCAAGTATCGTTGCATCGGACCAAAAATATCAAACTGTGCATAAGAATTGGGAAAGAGTGCAGTCCAAACTCCAAATTAGCTTTGTAGCATGTGGTATCATGCGTGCATTTCAGTTTCCATCCAACAGTATGCTTTTTTGTTTTTTGAGCCAACAAAGTGTACCTTAATTTGGCAAAACCAAACTAATTATATTAAAACCAAATAGAGTTCAATGATGTGGAACATGCATGTACAGATTATGGTATGTATGTGTGCATTTGTGTGGTTTATTTCTGAGAGAATTCTTATTTGCGGTCCTTAACTCAAATAATCCGACAGCCAAAAGATAATAAAAATGACAACGTTAATATCTTAAGCAACACCTTAGCTATAGGGCTTGATAATAAAAATGACTACTTTCAAATCTTACTTAACACCTTAGCTACAGGGCTTAAATCTAACGAGTTCCACAAGTATTGTGTCCCAACATATTTTGCAAGGAACATAAGCATATATAGTGTATGAACAACCACAACCCTTAAACTAAAGGATCAAGGATACTCAAACAAGGGCTCACCTAGACATTTCAACATGATTAAATACTTGATCAAATCACATATTTGACCCCACCATGTCGAAGAGCTCGTAGAGATAAATGAAATGGACTTTTGTTTTACCAAATTAGGAGATCGAACGCAAAAGTTACGCTTTACGGAAGATCGCAATACAGGTCGAGTTGAAATAGGAGAGAGAGAAGGGTCAGCAGAGCATGACATAGGTCAGATGACCCAGCACCAAGCTCAATAACCCTCAAATTTGGTCTAAAGATTCTTTACTCATCATAGAGCCCAAGGAAAATTGAGTTCAATCAAATGGTCCAAAGAGATGGTCAGCCAACCTCTCCCAAGGTCGCTCGACCTATCAACTGGGCCACACATAGTCCACTCCATCCACATGCAAACCATGAAGTGTTGTGGTATATATTGATTCAATGTTGGCTGTAACTGAGGGTCACCATGATGAAGCCATATAAGGATTGAAGGGCGCCCACCATTGCATGCAAAGAAACACAACTTCAACGAACCACTTTGTGGCGGGCATCTCCACACCATAGATGAGCAACACGTGAAAGATGGACGGCTGAGGAACGAGGAGGAGGTCCAACTTTCTATGGGAGTTACTTACCGACCTATGGAGTGCATCTATGCTGATACTCAGTCAAGTCGGTTTGATCTAAGGGTTGGGATGAAGTTTCACGTGGATTGGATGGCCCACTATCTCGACTCTCCCAAGTAACCTCCCACTATAAACAAAGGAGCACCCCTCACATGTAAACACACGCTTGGAGCTTGAATTCTTCCACTCTTTTAGTAGTGTCCCTTTGGATGGTTTTCATCCAACTATAGTATAGAAAATATCTAGGAGAGAGGTGAGGCAAGAATTAATTGAGGAGGAGCTGGCCTATTGGGGATTCATTCAGTTGTAGTATAGAAAATATCCGTGAGAAAGGATAGGCAAGAGTTGAGGAACAGGCCTATTAGTGTTTCGTCTACCCTGTACCTCGGCAGGTGCAGCTGGTCTTCTAGCAACACCCAAAATATTACTCTATTATCTCTGGTTACTTTATTTAATGGAGTTATGTATTTATTCCAAGTTTATTTACTAGATCTACACTTCTAACAAGTGCTCTAGTGTAATACCTAGAACACGTTTCTTGTGTTAGAAAGCGTAAACTGGAAAAGGGTTTAACAAGAGTTTATTTAATTGAGTTATGTATTTATTCCAAGTTTATTTACTAGATCTACACTTGTAACAAGTGCTCTAGTGTAATACCTAGAATACGTTTTGTGTGTTAGAAAGCGTAATGTGGCAAAGGGTTCAACGGTAGTTTTAATGAGTGGTAACAAAATAATTTTTTATATAGCTCGGATAGACGATCAAATATCATATATGCATAGAGCTCATTGAATGATTTCCGTTTACTACTCATACGCGTTGTTTGGAGTTCAGCTCAACAAGCTAGGGTCATTGAAAGATTGAAAGAAAATAAACAATATGAACAGAAGCAGCTGGGGATGGAGGCGCCCCCTACAGTACCCGACAATATTACAGAAAAGGTTTGTAGCAATGGCTCAATTTTTTTGTAGGAGCAGCTAGGGATAGAGGCGCCCCCCTACAATGGGCGTGCTTGGGACCCACGAGACCAGCCACCCCTACAAATGACACTGTAGGGGCGGCTGGTAATATGAGCTGCCCCTACAAATGGGTCGATTTGTAGGGGCGGCTCAATCACCAATCGCCCCTACAAATGCACATACAAAAGGCTGCAACCCCATTCTTCCTCCTCGGGTCACTCACTCTTACCCGAGAAAAAAGGTTCTTTGGGCACCTCCCAAAAATTGCACTACTAAGGGGGAGGTTTTGGTCTCAAATCCTTTGATGGAGAGGTTGTAGAAGGTAAGAAAATATTATTTCACACTTTTTTGAATTTTTAATGATTGGTTAATGAGTAATTAGAGTTTTGCTTTTCTCTCTCTTCTATGATGCTTGAGCTACTTATGAAGCAAATTAGACCTAAATTTTGAATGTATTAGGGTAAATTAGGTAGAGGAACAAGATCATACTCTTATTTGGTCCATGTTTCTTGATTTTAGTGAACAATTAGTTAGTTTTATGGATGTTTTATGTGCATGTAGATCTAGATCTAGGGTTTGTTTTTTTTATTAATTTTGTTTTTGTAAATTTATGTTTGATGAAATTGAACTAGGGTTTGCATGAAAGATATTAGGTAAAATATAATTGTTGCTAATTGTTGTCTTTGAAATTGTTTATTGTAATCAACAAATATGTATTTGAAATCTGTTTTTTTAGATATTGCAGATATGGATTTGCATGTCTTTGCTTCACCTCGTATTACTCTGAAGCCCCATGCTTGTTTGATTTTAACCCCAATATACAAGTTGGACACGCAGATAACTTGCCATGAATCTTCACAGTGTACAAATTGTCCAAATTTTAGGCGTGGAGGAACATGGAAATTGGAGGTGGCAATGGTAAATAGAGTTTATTTGTTCGCATAATAATCATGTTCTCATTTACATTTGATTCCCTTGCTCAAACGTTTTATTTGTCCATCTATGGTGATGATTTTGTGATTGAAATGGCAGATTCAAATTATTAGGGGCAATTGATAACATGTAAGCATGAAATTTTAGAGATTTAATCTCTTTCCACGGATAGCATGTGTCTGTCTACCATGGATTGGTGTGTCAGTTGGCCAGTTGGCCAGTTTCTTCTGTTGTCGAGCTCCTAGGGGACCAACCAGGGCTACTCTCTGCTACTTGCACTCAGTTAATGTCAGTTAATTAACCAGTGACTCAGTATCGCTACAATACCGGACCATCGCTTTCTTGCGTGCATTTTCTCATCTCTCCCCACAAAACCTAATCCCATTCATTTATTGAGCCGCCGCCTCTCCCACGCATCGGTGAAAAACAAGAGAAGACTGAAGGATGGAGAAGAGAGGAGAGGGACAGAGTTAGAGCTCGATCCTTGTTCATGGCTCATATGCCTTCCTCCTCATAAATTGGTTGGTTATCTTCTTCTCTTCTTGTTTCCCCTTCAATTCCATGCTTTCGTTGTTCTTGATGGTGGGGTGGAGTAGATTGAGATGACGAGAGGAGTAACAATGGGGATCACAGCAAGGAAGAAGTGGAAAATGGGAGATCAATCGTTGTGTATCATTGTCATAGTTGCTGTTGGGGTATAAGATCTTTGTTTCCCATTGTTTTGATGTGAAATTCATGCTAGGGTTTACCGTATTCGGTCGATTAGTTAACGGGGTTATGGTTATAATCTCGAAATTAGGCCCTGTAGTTTTTCAGATTGTGCGGTCGTCGGCTTGGTGCTGCTTAGGGTTGTTTTTATGTATCCAAAAATCATATAAAAATTATATGAAGTAGTATACTTGAGTATCTTTCTTTTGGCGGTTATAATCTCAAAATTAGGCCCCGTAGTTTTTCAGATTGTGCAGGTGTGGGCTTGGTGCTGCTTAGGGCTGTTTTTATGTATCTAAAAATCATATAAAAATTATATAAAATAGTATACTTGAGTATCTTTCTTTTGGCATAGATATCACCTTTATAGGTGTAACACCCCAAAATCTAGATCTACTCTGCACGCTGAGTGGACCACACCTTCCACCATTCCACTTATGCTTTCGTCATCACTTCACATAAAAAGGATTAACCCGGGAATGGTGGGATGAAGTCTAGAAGCCTTATATATTAGTCTAACCCACTCTAAACAACCAAGATAGGAATAAACCCTCCATAATATATCATTAATATGCACATGAGCCACTATGAGCTAAATTCCAAACTGGGCTAGATGTTATAAACACCCTCCTCAAACGGCTTGGCGTCCTTGTTGGCCTAACACACCCATAACCGGGCAAACGATGACCAGGAATGTTGTCTCTTAGCACACACGACCGTGCGTCTTGTGCCAACACATGTGCCATGTTGTGCACCCCGCAGGTCCTACACATGCAATGAGCCCCATGTCCGCGCCCCTTACCTACTTGCACCTATGGCCACGATGATCAGATCTGATACCATTTGTAAAGCCCAGAGTCTAAACGGCTTAGATCCACTCTGCACGCTG